AGTGGCCCCAGTCTGCTGATGTGGGGATCGCGTAGAGAGTATCGATCGTTTTGTCAACGATTTGGAGCTGCTCGCGGAAGATCCACCAGGGAATGGCAGTCATGTAGTCCTTCAGTACGTTTAATGCCGCCTTATCGATGGCTGTGGTGTTCGATCCTGGGTTGCCCACGCAATCCGTCATCAAGGTGCCGTTGAACGTGCAGGCGCCGACTTCCCATGAGAATTCGGGAGTGCACTTGGTGCGGGAGATCCAGTGACCCTCGGCGGTCTGTGTAAGGCTGCTATCATTGGTGCGAGTCTCGGCTTTGAGGGATGAGGAGGGGCCTGCGGATATGAAGTATGTGGTGCCACCGATAGGAACATTGTTGATGGAGTTGTTGGCTGCGCTGTTCCAGAGACGCAGGCTCTGTGATTCCTGTTTTCGGGGGGTGAGATCGATCGTCTGGTTGGTGGAATCGGGAAGGGTAAAGGTGTATGAAGCGTTGACGCCGTTGACGGAGGTGGTGAATGGTATTTCGGTCGCTGCTTCGCAGTTGGCGTCCCAGTGATACAGAATAAGGCCGTGGTAGGTCGTGTTAACGTTGAAGGTTAGATTGTGCGTCGGAATGGGGCCAATGACGCCCGAGAAGACGTCGACGAGGGCACTTTGGCTGACGATGTTCCCAACAAAGGTGTAGACGGTTCGCGAAAGGAAGTTGTCGTTGTCATCAAGAGTCTGCTTGAAGGCTCCCTGCCCGTCCCAACCCATCGCGTTGGCCAATCTCGTAACGGAGGAGTCGTTTGAGGGAAGAATGGGCATTCCGACGACGTCAACTCCGGTGATGTTTTCGTAATAAGCTCCAGTCGTGAGCATAAGAGTGCCGACGGGAACGATCGAGGTGCGAATGACGATGAGCGCGGCCTGCATGACGGCGTACCACCACGAGTATTTCCCCAGTATCCGCAGCGTCCAAGCACTCGAGTCGTCTCCTATCTTGTCCAAGTCCGCCAAGAGAACCGGCCGCTGCGCCGTGAGAGCGAAGAGTCGAAGGTGTCGGAAGTCGTGCATGATCCATTGGACCAACATGCCCGCCGGGGCAAGTAGTGCTGAGAGGGCGATACCAGAGTAAAGCTGATCGACCTTCAAGGAGTCTGGCGTGCGAAAGACGCGTTGCATGTAGTAGTCTCTGTCGACCGCGGGTCCCTGATACGACCAGACAACCGCCGCCACCGCAGCAAGAAGGTATACCAAGATGCAAGAGATGTAAATCTTGAGGAACTTGAAGTCTTGGAACCTAAACATGCGTTCGGCCGTGGTCCCGCCATAGTGTAGCTGTCCGTCCGACGGCAAAGACCCACTCTGCGGCATGTTCTTTTCGGCAGAGGCCCGGTCCTCATCGGACACATCCCGTTGGAGGGAGCTGTACTCAATTTTCGAAGCCATGGCAAAAGAAACGACCGTATTCCTACCCGAATTTCCTGAACCTTGAGAAACGTGAGCACGCGAGCAGGAGATGAACAGAGATTTTAAGAGATAGCTTTTCCGCCACATGTTCCTACACGGACACGGACACGGAGCAGACACACCCTTGCTTCCAAGGTCTGTGAATCTACTGCATGTCAGCCTCTAATTTTGTAGCCTGACGATCCTTCGACGACCCGCCCGGGTGGGATCAACGTTGGGCTGAAGGTCTAGCCCATCTTATGCAGCCGCCAGAATAGAGCCAGCCCTTAATTGGACAGTCCTTGCCCTGGAGTGAGAACAAGCATAACTAGGTACCCGCGCCGAGGGTGGCATCTGAATCCAGCTACCGAGCGCTGCGTGCGCCAAGACCGGCTTACTGTCAGCCACTGTTTGGAGACTTATTGAGGCCGACCAGAGGGATGAGGAATCATGCGTGCACTGCGGACAAATAGGTAAAGTCTGAATTGCATGTCAGAGGGCAGAAAGGCGACCTGGATTGAGGGTATCTTACCCACGTTATTTTGAGGCTCTGCTGATTCTGCCATCTGCAACACTACCATTGCCATCTCTAATTTAGAAGGAGCTCAACTCATTCCGGCCGTTCAGCCCGTTCTTCATTATCTTAACCCTCTGCCTCAACCCCGAATCACCTTTGGATATTGCTTCCCAAATCATCTTCTCAACTGCATTGTCATCTTTCGATGTAGCTTCCTGAATCAGACCTTCCGTCTCCAATGACACAATCTGGCTTAGTGACATCCACACATTTCCCAAGCTGCTGCAGGTAGTCAACTTGAGAAACAGAATAGAGGCAGCTGCAACGAGGCCTAGGTGTAACACGATGATAGCAACGACGATACCAAACCCAACCCACCGGACGGGAATCAGTTTTTCCTCTGTCATGGCGTACGTCGCTGGCCAAGCATTCCGGAAGTAAGGCAAGGTATCGTAGTAAGACATTTGCTGAGTGACTGTGAGGATAGCCTGTAGTGCCTCTGGTACGCTCAAGCTCGTCCTGAGCACGTCTTGAAAGAGCGCAGAATGTGCGTAATGAACGGCACGGGAGGAATATCCACCCGTCCGTAGCATCCCACAGGGCGATGGGTCGATTAAGGGGTCGTGCAGGCTGCGTGTCATGAAAGGAAGTTGAGAGGTGACTACGTCGAGTGACAGTCTGTGATCCTCACTCTTCCAACTTTTCTTCGGAATAAGTTCGAGTAGTTCCGGGCTAGGGTCTCCGCCGGGAGGTTCTTTGCAGATGCTGGAATACTGGTCCCGAATGACATTCGTGGTGTACTGGGTATTCGGGCTGTCCCAAGCTAGGATCGGTTCGTGGCCATCAACCTTACTGGACATGCTAACATTTTGCACATGGCCCTGCAAGTTTGCGAAGCATGCGGTGACCGAGACACCTACTCTCTTGGCATGTCCTTCCCATGGTATGTCAACACTATTCCACATCCCGTCCGAGGTCGATATCCATTTGTCGGCAGAGGCTTCCCAGCGGCTAGTGCTGCTGTTCAAGTTGCCATGAACCCGGAGACCCTGATGCCACTGAGGCATTGTCCCAGTGCCGTTGAATACAAGGAATATAGAGGTGTAGGTAGTGTTCAGTGCTGAAAAGGGTGAGGGAAGAAATGGCATGGTGTAATTCTTCCCATCCGGCCATGTCCTATTTTCTCCCCGACCCACTGAACAGATCGAAAAGTTGTCAATTTGTGAAGCGAGGGGTTCGCCTTTGGAGTAACCATGAATATCTTCAGCGGGAACCGCACAGTTGAAAGGCCACTTTGGCTCATCTATCTGGTTTTGGCCTCGGTTGATCGGCAGCTGGTCGTAGTCTCCTTGTATGTCAAACTGCCCGAGGACATTGAACTCGCTGTAGGTCTCTAGCCGTGTATCGTTTGAGAAGTCAAAGGCAACCGCAGAAAATGTGACGTTCCGGATGACAGGTCTGACGCAGACCACTCTGAAGTCTACAACAGCGGCGGGCCCTTCATAATTTCGCAGGCGACTACGGCTTGGCTCATTCGCAAAGGGAATGAATGCCCGTAGGATAGTCCCTGTATCTTCGAAAAATTCGGACTGCTGGGCCTCGGTAGGCTGCCTTTGTAGTTCCGCAAACCTTGGATAGACCCAAGGCTTTGACTTCCAGATGCTGGAGCCCTGCATCACTGTTGGGTTTATGACGCTACTGTTTCCGTACAGCATGTTGACGGCTTTTTGCGGTGCAGTCACATTTACCACTGCGAAATCAGACAGCAAGGCGGTCGAGGCCAACTGAGATGCTGCTGTCAGGAGAACTGAAGTTGTGATAGCCATGGTGTAAACGGTCCCAATGCCCCAGGGCATGTCGAAAGGTGTCCAACTGATCAAACTGTACGGCGATGCAGGCATAGCTCTCAGCATAGAGACGAAGGGAGCCGCGCTGAAAGATATCCCTGTCCGTTCTATCATGAGCGAGGCGATCATTGCGGTGAACAAGCTCATCTGGAGCGCCAGACAAACACGCAGCGCAGCGGCCGTCAGAGTGATTGATCTAGACGCCCAGTCGGCGAAAACGATTTGACCCCATAATGTGTTTTGCACAACGACTTCTTTGGCCTGTATTGAAAATTTCCAGAAAAAGCTCATGAAGCCAACAGCTCCGATGATGAAGACAGTGCCAATGCCGAGGATGTAGAGTCCGAAAGTGCCGATCGCTCGCCGTCGGCTGGGCTCTTGCGGTGGGCTCGCTTGACTTAGCAGGGAGCCAGCCTCGTTGATCAATGACGTCGCAGGGAGAACTTTCCAATTCGGTATGTCGTAGTCCAAAGTTACCTTGGTAGCTTGGTGCTTGTCGAATAACGTTGGCGCCCGTGGCTCCTCATGCTCGCGAGATGACCGTTCTTGCACGCATGTAATGGATGTACGGATTGACAACGAATTGACACTGCTAACTTCGGACACATCGTCTGTGCAGGGTGAAGTACTTGGTCTTCCATTCATATTGCAAGATGAATGAGTAACCGAGCGGAGTGCAGTCCCGAGTAAAAACTCGAGGCAGAAAGTTGGGGCAGAAGTGCCATTTAATCATGCTTGGGAACATCGCACGACAGACACTCTCTCAGCCTGACCCTACCACACTTGCTTATGCTGGCATGGCTCAGCCACCGACATACATGCAGTGCAACCCGTATTGATATTTTGACATAGTGGCTGGTATAGCTGCAATGTAACCCATGTTGTTATATTGCAGTAATGAGCTCATGCACCTATCTACTTACTTAAGAAAATTTACCTGTGTAGAGATGTGTCCACATTCCAGGGGTATGGATGCTAGCTTTCAACAAAATCTTCTGACACACGTCCTCTCAAGTTAATTACTTCACAGCTATAGCTATGCAATTGAGAATTGATTTATTTTCGTTCTATAAAGCCTAGAGCCCCGAAAGTAACCAAAGTATTCTCTGCTAATGTGGTTCTTATCCCCTCCCCCCTTTCTGTCCCGGGTAAAGGGCAGGGCGAGGCAACTTCGATCATGTACCAAGCTGGCAGACTGAAACAGTGAGTTCCATCACCAGTAACACCAAAATTCCCTCGAATCAGTCTTAGAAATCACTTTGACACAGAAGGAAGCTTCGTCCTCCCCAGACTCTGGCTTATCGATCCCACACCAGATTTCGCTCATAGCCTTGTGAAAGAAGTCTCTGTCTCTGTATGGAACATGAATGGTGAAGCTTTCGAGGTTTTCAAAGTCCCCTTCGTGAACGGCGTCGGCAAGCCATTCGATGTCCGTGAAGTCCGAGTGGTGCTGGGCCAGGAAGGTTAGGCTTCGAAGTGATCGAGGTAATGTGGTGATGAACGCATTTGGGCCGTCCAAGTCGTTCTGATAATTCAAATCAAAGTCCGCTGGATCCACCGAAAGATGCTCGAGTCTTTGAAACATTATAAAGGTATCGAACCACTCGTGCTCCGCCATTTCGATGTGGCATTGGACGTGAATGTCAATCAGAATATCTGAATGTTACGCCAGCGCCCGTCGGACCCTCATCGGAGAAATGTTCTGCTCATCCGGGAACCAGGAGAAACGCGTACTGTAATAGAATGAATGAAGACCAGGCGGAATTTGGAGAAATTCTCCCTGGTTTGGGAAGTCGCTGTCCACAAAAGGTGCTTCCGAAAGAGACAAACGCTTGAGCCTTTTGAAAGTGTTGAAAGCCTGGACCGGGACGCTTACAAAGCCGCAGCCTTCAAACTCCTTAAGGTTGGGTGCAAGACGAGTGAGCAAGTGAAAGTCTGAGAGATTGATGGTTGTAATTACGTGAGCGTCCAAACGAAGAAAGGTCAAGTTCAGAAGCAAAGCCTCCGGTGTCTCTGAGGGGGGTATCAAGAGATATGGCAAGACCGACCAAGCATCGTCAAAGTGGTTGAAAACTCCAAAGTCTTCGTTCCAGTTCGGGCCACACAGCCCAGTGATCATGACTTGAGATACACCTCGAAGCTGATGGAAAAGCAGCGAAGATAATACATTGTTGTATGACCATGGACAATTTGTGTTGCCCTGTAGTGCGCGGCTGAGGCTTGTCTGACCAATTTCGCGAGCCAGATGATCGAGTTTCTGGACATCGTCCATAGTTCGCTCCAGATGGCAAGACAAAGCTTTTTCAAAGTGTAACTGAACTTTATTCACCTTGGAGCGGAGGTCCTTGCGATGATAGAGAACCTTGATCAACGACAAGATGTCGAGGCCGGCTGGGTCCCGGACGGCGAGATAGATCTTGCGATAGAGAAGAGGTTGCGTTGCATATTGGAATGACTTAGAAACCCTAGAAAGAATCGCGAGCGTCTTCTGGTCGGCTTTCCAGTCCTTCTTCACACTCAGTGGGGTGTCATCTTGGAAGCATGCGGCAATTTCACCCAGCATCTCGGGAGGAAGGCTCGATATCGATGCCATGATGGACGAGTGACACAGTGCGATGATTGCACGGCCGGGAGGATTTGAAAGAACAAGGTCGACGGCTGGCTTGATACTATGAACTCGTCAGTTTTCAATATTCTCTAAGTAGAGTGGGAGTTTTCTACCTCTCCCTACCTTAGCTGAGGGGTAGGCAACAGGAGGGCGGTGGATGATGCTTGGATTTATCTTGCTGCTGCGGGACAATCCTCTGTCGGCGATGCGCGAGGGTCCTGCTCTGTGGTGTTTGACGAAGGGTCAAAACAAGATGGTGATGGTGAAAAGAAAAGATCTCTTTTGTAATGGGTCAGGAAGAAGTAGGGAAGGGAAGGGGAGGAAGAGAATAGAATCGACGGGAAGGAAGTCGAAAATAAATCTTGTGTGGAAGGAGCAAGAAGTGGAAGGTACCTCCCAAATTTTACTTCCATATCTTCTTCCCCAAGCTCGTCTTTCCCCGAAGGCAGGAAGGAACGAACTGTGACCTCGTGCCGAAACAGATTCCCTCAAGAATTGGATTCATTTGAATTCTGGAAGAAGTTCCTCCTATTCGACCAGATACAGTCGATATTTGATGATGGCAGTCTCTGGTTTCTTGGCATCACGAGAGCTCACAACTCTTTACCTTCACTTCACTACTTTAAGGTGGACCGTGTTGGACGCAAAGGAATGCTATGGTTGTACAGAACGCTCCTTGGAACTTGTCATGTTGGTGCTGCCTAGTACTACAGCATTACAATATCAAAATGATATCAAGCACAAGACCAGCAAGGCGTAGGCAGCTTCGATTTATGTCAGGTTTCGTGATTAGCTCTCACCTGATGGGGCTGCTATACTTTAACGGAGCATTCGATACTCAATTTTGTTCTGAACTACGAAGTTTAGGGGAGAAATCAGACCCAAACCAGATCATTCCAAATCACAATGTCTACATTACATAGCCCGATATCTGGTGTTGAGGTTCCAGCCACGCTGAAGCAGTGAAACAATGTACCGACCACCTCGCTGAAGACGGTTCTTGACCCTCTGCGCAAACTCCCAGTGAAGCTTCTTGATACGGCATCTACCTCGTACTCTACCTTGACGCTTCTGGGAGCGTCGGTTCTTCTGCCTGTACAAGTAAGCATTCATCTTCTTCCTTCGCTGGTAAAGCGTCTGCCGGAGCAACTGGCATAGCTCAGTACCGGGGGTGAGTAACCTGCGGAGAAAGTCTCTATCCATGATAGCCTTCTGTCTAGATATACGCTTGTGGATTCTAGCTTGCTCGAGGTGCAGGTCGATAATGTAGTCATCGTCTTCGAAGCCTGAGCCGGTCTTGGATGCGGTGGGAGTTCTGGGCGGAGTTGTTAGTTCATCGGAGCGACGCTGGAAGGTGCGCACTTGGTCTTGGCTATTGAAACGAACGCGCTTCTTTTCGACTCGATAGAACGACCCTCTTGAGTTCTTGAAGCAGCTTTGGAGAGTTGGCGTTGATTGCGACATGTTGGATGGGATGCTTGGAGGACTATGAGGTTTAAGGCTTAGACAACCGGGCACTCGGCCTTATGTAGTCGTAGACAAGCTGGAGTAGTTGGTCTCAGACTAAAGAACTGTAGAAGGCAGCTCCAGGACAGACAAGGAGATACATGACATGTCGATTACATGGCTCAATTCGAACAAGGGCTAAGAGTACTGCACACAATTCAAACGATCTGTGAAAGAACAACCTTGGCCGTGACTTCGAAGCCTGGCTTTGTCTCCTACTTAGACCCTGAAGTAGACCCCATCACCAATCTGGAAACAATAATTCTATTGACGACTACAAGAACGCGTATACAATCAAATGTGTAAGAGGCCTGTTTGGGATCACGGAATATGAGGCTTGATAAATCTGGTCAGCCCCATTAAACACCGGAAATGCGGGGTGATCGTTTCGGCGCCGAGATGCCTGTCCAGGCTCAATGAACGGCATCCGGTGAACAGGATCCCCGACCGACGTCATTCTCATGCTCTCATATCATTTGTGGTGATGGTTTTCAGTCTCACTGCTATGTATCACTCATTTACACAGACGGTGCTATATCTCTTGAGTTTTGCTGCTATCGCCGGGCTTGAGATGCCTCGTGAATGTCACTCCAGCAGCAGGTCAATCCTCCCCAGTCTGGTCCGGAGCGATTTACCCTGCTACCCCGCCATCCGGCCATTCAGGCCCCGGTACCACTACACTGTCAGCGGCAACCTCTCACTTTCAACTCAACGGCTCTCATTCCAGCTCACCTCATCGACCATAGCTTTCATCCGTCCCTACAAGGCATCTGACTTTGATGCGACGGGTCGTATCGTGCGTCTCAATTCTCCTTATCTTGGCCTATCTTTGTTCCGCAGCGACTGACAATGAACCCAGTGCCGCGCCACGCTCCCACCGTCCCTCGAGCGTTCCGAAGCAGCGACCAGGACCGCACCTTACCTATGGACACATCAGTATACTCATCTATCCCCTGAGACTTGTCACATACTTGACGATGGCGAGGGAAACTGCGTCGGCTACTGCATTGGCTGCCCCAACGTGAACGACTTTGCGAGCGCGTACCCGCGGTACATCAAGGAAGTCCTTGAGACGTCCAAGGAGCTGGACGGAAGAAAGCCTAAGAGCCTCGAGACGAAAGCGCCATGGAACTTCCCAGACACGGGGGAGGTGAATGAGGAGGCTCTCCTCCAGCAAGCATTCAACCCGACATGGCTGGTGCTTGACGATGAGCGAAAGGAGCTCTGGGGCAACTGGAAGGCTACGATGCACATCGACCTGCTGGAGCCATGGCAGGGCAAAGGCTGGGGAAGAAAGCTGATTGACAAGTTCGTTGAGAGTCTGAAAGAGGCCGATCAGCGCAACGGTGGCTCCAGTGGGAACAGGCTCTATGGTAAGGGCGTGCATATTGGCGTCGGTGGTGAGAACGACAAGGTCGTGCCGTTCTACGAGAAGCTGGGGTTCCGGGTGTATCCTACCGACGAGAAGGGATCAATCTGGATGGTGAAGGACGTCGAGTAGCTTTTTACTTCGCCCAAATCCTTTTCCTTACATCAAGTTCAATTCAGAAATACCAACACTAGCAACAACGATCTCTGGCCATCAAGATGTGACAGTCTAGACAAAGTCGAGTCTCCAGATGTCTCCCAACCTCGAGTTATCTTCAGCAAGACCTCCATGAACAACCACAGCCTGCTTGCTCCCATCTACCACCACATCCGCATCAAACCAACCTCTTGGCGGCGGCGCATCCCCCTCGAAGAAGACCTTATCCCACGTCCCGGCCGCAATGTCGAAAGCCCACACGTCCGAGAGCATCTTGCCAGCACCAGCGTGACCCAACGAACTAGGATCGCGCTCGCCGAACAGCGTCACAAGATGCGGCTTACCGCCCACCTCAACCGCGACGAGCGCTGATACACTTCGCGCCTCGGGGCCTTTGACACCATCTGGCTTGTACGTGATCGTAGACCAAGCCGCGGAAGCGGGGTCGTAGACATCAAGAGAACCGCCTTGCTCGGAAGTGCCATCGAAGCCATTGGTGCGATATAACTTGTCTCCAGAGAAAGCGATGGACGCGCCGCCGCGCGCTGGAGGAGGTGCTGCAGCGAGCTCCTTCCACGTCTTCGACTCGATATTGAAGGACCACAGATCGGCGAGGCGGCCTTTCTCTGGGCAGCCTGCGTGGATGTAGATGGTCTTGTTACCGTCTGAGGCAGTGCAGTGGTAGCTGCGTCCGGCTGGGTGTGATGCCGTTGCGTCGGTCGGCGTGAGTTGATCCCAGAGAGATTGGGATGAGGTGTATAGTCTGTGGTGAAGAAGGTCTGTTAGTGGTGCAAGTTTGGGGTATGAATGGGTGAGTATGAGACAATGCCTTTCCCGGACTGAAGTTCGGCAACATCGAGTTGGTTGTCTACGGGCTCTCGTGGGAGGAGTTCACCGCCGAAGACGAACACTTGAGTCCCGATTACCGAAACTGCTTGCGATGAACGCCTGAGACGGTCGTTCGAAGCAAGTCGAACCCAAGCAGCAGAGAGTTTGGCCATTTCCGCGACTATTGAAGACTTGAGTGGATTTACTGGTCTGGTTTGGGGAGTGAATGAAGTGTATTCACAGACAGCAGCCGTACTTATAGCTGGATGCCCTTGTCTTCAGATCCGTCATGTCTCGATCTGATAAGGAGCTTCACCCAAGACCGGTTCCAAACCGAGCGCTCCACCACGCCATCTGACCAACGACGTAAAGTATTGCCATATTCCCGGATCACTTACAACGTGTCACTGAAGATGTCGGACGCATGATGGCTCGGCAGGCAGGGATGTAATGTGCTCAAACCGGAATCACTTTGCCCTCCGTGACTTATGTCATCGGAGCTGGTTTGGCATATTTCCCTCCGCTTAGTCATGTCAACGGCCTCAGACACACACCTTGTCTGGGAGACTGTACTCTGCCATGTGCAACACGGAGGAGGAGAGGCTCCGTTCGATTTCTTAACGCCGAAATCGGATCAAAAGACAGCTTTCAGACTTATACACACCTCAAACCCAGTGTTCTCCAGCATAGAATTTCCGCCTTACACAAAACCAAGCCCTCTTCAGCTAGCAGATTTGTCCATGAGTAGATTATTCCTCAAAGAGGTCACGGACACGAGATTTCATTTGCAAATATAAAAAAAGCCTTGAAAAAAATAAATGAGAAAAAAAGAGTTCACCCCCCCGGTGTTGAATTGGGGGCTACATCTCTTGGTGCTCATGCTGGGATTAATTGGTGCTCGTGCTGGGATTCGAACTCGTATGCGCTGAGCCTGTCGTCGAGTAGGCTGGTTGGCGAATTGATTGTTGACCATAAACCACTCCACCACCCAGCCAGTTTGACCTGACCCGTCGACCTAGACGGGCGCCTGCTGGCTGGTGACAGGAACGAAATTGAAGGGGGGTATATACCCTTCTCGTGTATTCAGATGGAAGGTGAAGCATCACGTGCGGAAGGCACAACTGAGACCGCCTTCCCTTCGAGGTTGAAGTCTGATAAGCCATACCTTAGCTGCATGATATCCTGTTCTGTTTAGCACTGCAAGTTTCCCTTCGCCAAAGTAGTTGCCCTGCAGCTTACATGACAAGATAAGGGATCTAAACTCGGGCATGAAGACATGAAACAACAGACTGGTCAGAAGAAGAATGGGATAGGGCCGGAACTGCCTTCAAAAGTTATCATATCACGATGCCCTCGGAGTGTCAGCCGTGATCTGTACATGGCGATCTCCGAGCTTATATTCCGTTGTTATACCGCTTTGGTTTATGTGTTTACTTTAGAAAACTGGCGATCCAAGAGACTCAAATGTGGGAGAAGTTCATATATGATTGCTTAGACTCCCAGCAGGAAGACCTCGACAGCAATTTGGGAAGTTCATGCGGGGGCTAACGGATATGAGGTGTAGTTAAACGCCTGAACAGCATCCGAAACCACATACAACTGACGATGCTATCAAAGATGGAGCCTCTCAGTAGCATCCTACACCTTGCACCGCCGCGAACTTTGATGCGTTGGCGAATTGAATCTTCGGGTTAACAGCTAAATTCGAGCTCTTCTGAGTAGCTCACCTGATTGTCAAGGCCTACGTATTCACGGAAGGTAAGTTAAGTGGAGTTTAAAATCAGTCACTTGAGGAAGTGCTTTTCCAAGCGCCCAGAAGAGACCCAGTGACACCTTCCTCGAGCCCGTATTGACAGACCAGCTTGCTGTCCCGGCAACCATCCAATGTCACGGCTTCACCTTTACACCCTGAATATACAAACACCTGTATTCATTCAGTCTCTGGTATCACGTGCTTTTCCCTTTCCAAATTCTTTTCCAATAAATCATCTTGGAGTAGGAGTAACCGGACCTGTTCCTTCCTAAGGAAGGCACTGTTTTTGCCGTTGACTTCCTTCCCCCAGGAAAGGAGAGGCCTTCTTTTCTTCCCTATCACACACCGCATCGAGTCTCTCCTTTCTCTTTTCGACATCTCCAACCAGGGAGACTCATCGAGGCATTTCGGTCTTCCATCGATATTCCTCCCACAAAAGAAAGCAGCTGAACGGTGGAAGAAGCCTACTTCAGGTACAAGATTCCTTCATTATGCTGCTGACAGGCCAAGCTAACATCTTTCCGCGTCAGAGACAGAACGGAATCCCTCATACTTTCCCGTCGTCAGGCTTTCTACCCTATAGCATTCACTATTCACCTCCCACTCAGCAGTTTCTGCTACGCGTCGTGATCCCACGGACACATTGTCGCCGGCTTCCAGAGACTTTGTTCATGGTTTCCCTGTCAGTGCCTACTACTACCTCCGATAGGCAAAGGATTGAAGCTCACGATTGAACAGCCTACAATAAGACAATGCCGGGAATCTCTGATATACCCGTAGAGGTCTTTGAACAGATCTGTTCTCAACTCCGATGCAATGATGACGAACTTGACGAAAAGGAGTGGATCGCATGCCAGAGCACCCTTCTAAGCATCTGCAGAGTGTCAAAGGCCTTCCACAAGCTCGCGAAACCTTACCTGTATCGCCAAATCTTCCTTGTTGCAGACAACCACAGCGGCACAAAGTTCTTCTCCCTCGTCCGGGCGCTGGTCTCTCAGCCCACCCTCTCCCAGCAGGTCCAAAGTCTGCGCATATCTCATGCTCAAACATCCTATCGTGATTACAGGAACGATCGCGACTACGAAGAATACCGCACGCCTTGCAGCATTGAAAACTGGGAATTCCTCACCAAGGCTGTCAAAGATCGAATGCCTTGGTACATTTTCAGCCGTCAAGATCCGATTTGGGAAAACACCAACGTAACCGTCAAGGAGATCAGGTGTCGCGACAAAGAGATGAATTGTTTGATGAAAATCCTTGTCTTCATGCATTTGCCCAATTTGAGCACGTTGCATGTCTCTATCCGGGTTTCAGAAGCCACCCCCGAGTACGCAAATGGGTCTTACATCGGTTGGCACATTCCAGAGCATTTGCAGCAGGTGAAGGAACTGTACATCTACGGAGAAGACGCCCAGACGCCGTTTCTGCTCTCCGGATGTCTGTTTTGGCATATGTACTTGCCCTCGACGGTTACGGATATATGCCTCAGGAACTGCAAACTACTGCTGGCTGATGATGCTAGCGGCTCTTTCTACCCGAGGACGTGGAACATCAAGAAGGTTTCCTTGATCGACTGCACAATGACACCAGACGTCTTGTCTGAGTTGACAAACGACGTCTTTCCATTGGAAGAGTTCGAGTACGTCGTGAACTCAAAGTTCGAGGACAAGATCGCCCTCGTCACTGCTGCTGAGACTATCGACCGCCTGAAGTCGTATTCCGCATCTCTCGTCGACCTTCGACTTCGGTTCCGACTCTCTGACGGAAGGCCGATCCGCGAGGACGAAGAGCCCTACAAGCCCTCGGACTTCTGTGACTTCAAGAAGCTCAAAACCCTCGTTGTTCACCTTGCGGACTTTGGATTCCACGACAATCCCAATTCGACTGTTCCGGCTGTCAGCACTCTGGGATTCCCCAAGAGCATTCAGGATCTCAGAGTCAACGAGGTTCTTTGAGATGGCCTATAATGCACTGATGATGCGGGGATTGAGTGGAACTTGGGAGCAAAAAGGAGTGGACCGGTTAATGGGTGATACGGATTTGCTTTGGGCCGTTCTTTGATCATGCCTCTGGACTGGCTTTGTCCATAATAATATCCGGGCTTGGCAGATCTGGGGCTGGACGGGAAGTAAAAGAACGGTCCGAAGCGCGCTACGCACTTCGCAGCACATTGTGAACAAGGGATGGGGCAGATACGAAAGCAGTCGACTTGGTCTTCGGAACCTAGAGTCTAGATACTTCTCAGCTAGCCGCACCATCACCTTGAGTCAAACTTGAAGATCCACAGCTCGATGTAAACATGAAGTGATACCATATTTCCCTCATTTGAAGCCTGTTGATTATACTTGCTTGGCGTACCAGCAAGGTGTGGCTCTGACAGTCCTTGGTTAATTTGAGGCACAACCTTTTCAGAAGGACACAGTCTCCACGCGTCCCATGAGTGCTTTCACTGGTAGCATTGTATGATATATTATCGTCGACAATTCGAGTCTCAGTGACAGATGTGTCTTTGTGAGACAAAGGAGTGCATGGCATCCGCATACATCTTGCTCTGGTACAGCCTAATGAAATCACAGAGAAGCTTGTTGCTGGAGCATCTTCATTGAGTGTATTTGAAACCAGTCGTAATCCTCCTTGTTACGAGAGTAAACCTTGAATATACATTAAGTCCATGCAGGCTTCAAATAGGTACAGCTATTCTGGGTAGCATTTCCGCCTACAGTTTCATTCCGTTTGAAAAGGCAGTGTGATGCGTGTTGCTTGGCGTAAAAAGGCTGTTGAAGATCTATCATTCCGAAATCCCATGCAGAATTAGTATATGGTCGTCTCGAGGGCTTTGAAGATTTCAAGTCGAGACAGACGGTGTCTGAAGGAGTTGCGAGGAATGCGCTCCAAGCTCTCGCTGAACATAAACGCAATGACTTTGGGAACTCCGAGTAGCAAGTAGGGAGTCATATCTAGCACAATAGTGCGACGTCCAGACAAAATATCATCAAAATCTCATCACGACCCTGCCGAACTCAGTAGTTTAGGTGTAGAGCAATTGGTTGGAAATGCGCCAAACACTTTTGTTGGCAACCGATCAGTGGGATTTCTGGAGGACTAGTCGCAGAAGCTCATCTTGGGACACACTCAATCAAGAATACCTCTCGTGTGGCCTCTCTGGAACCTTAACCGTCCGGTTCATCATTGTGCCATGTGGTAATCTGTGCGAAGACTCCAATCGAAGTTTCTCTGAATAGTAAGAAGGGGACTTCATCTCGTGACGAGGGCACAGAATGCTACGTCACCGTCACAGCAAGGGCCTTTCCCTATTCGTTTGAAATGATGATCCGACAACCTGTCACCCTTTCACTCTTTGGGACTCGGCCGGCGGGTTTGAACAATGGCCAATGCCAAGGTAGTGATTCGTCAGAGATG